TGTTTATTGTTTTGACGTTATATTTAAAAGGTTGAAAACTATAAGATTAAAATAAATGTTTTAATCCAACCCACCACACAAAATACGGTAAGCTACGAAAAACGACCTAAAAAGATCTATATATTTTCTGTTATCCATTCTAACGTATATAATATATAACGTAACATAATATATGATAATATAGTATCGTATTAAAACTTACTCGGTTTGTAGCAGAAAGGCTTTAGTTGACAGCGAATATTGCAGCAAGGTTTCTCCATACCAGTTACATACAGACTGACGGGAATGCGTTGCGGTATCCTTTTAATATAGATCTGTCTGCTATTGTATATTATTCATCACATTCCCGTTTAAAAGCAGGGAAAATTTTACGAATGGAATTTATAACACTTTTGAATGCAGAGTAAACTTTTCCATGATAGGTTCCCATTAAGTTCATTGCGTTTACCGCTTTACAAATTTATATACGGTACACGACAATCAAAGTTTCTTAATACAGATCCGTATGTATTTGTCTTAAGGTTGAATTTGAAAGGATTATTGGTTATTAGCGGCAAAACCGTAGCCAAATCATCAGTACAGTCACCGCGCTTAGGAGGTTTAACATGAATGACGACACCATACCTACACTTAATTATTAGTTCCGAGTTAAAAGTTACGTCTTTATTTTTCAACTGAATAACTCATTATTGTTCAATAAATCATACGCTACTGTTAAAATAAAAAAACATGTTTCAATTTGATTAGAAAAACACAGTACCGTTAGTTTCATAACTGTAACTACACTTTAAAATCTACATAAGGTCTGCTGGATAAAAGCTAACTCAAATTAGATAAAACCTCCCTTTCATACAAACTGATGATAGTCTAAAATTTGTATGTTTTTTAGTATACAATAAAAACATAGGTATCTTTGGCTTTTTTGCTAATTAAACGCAGAATGTCTCAACCAATTCGGATGTCCTTTGAATGGTAGACAAACTTAACTTGCGTGAGACGCTACTTATAAGATGTGGATTTTTACATGTACCTTTCATGATCTATAAAATATTAAATTATGAATTGTATATGTAATTGAATTGTAATTGTATATTCGGGATAGTATTTCGGGCTTAGTACGTTAAAATCGCCTGAGAAAAGAAAACAAAACAAGGAGTTAACAACAATCAAATGAGTACTGCCTGTTTGTACGTGCAGTTTCATTTAATGTAATTTTGTAGCGCCTCTTTTCCCTGTTCCTTAATTAAAATAACTAACTAAACCGCAAAGCCTGTTATTATAATATGCCAAGATTTTTTTAAACGTTGTTTGTTAAAACTTTTTTAAAACGTAAGCACACAGGGGAACACAGCTATACTGTATATATTTAGAAATATATTGTTTTTATTTTTTTATTGCTTAGATGGTTGGACGAGCTCACAGCCCACCTGGTGTTAAGTGGTTACTGGAGCCCATAGACATCCACAACGTCAATGCGCCACCCACCTTGAGATATAAGTTCTAAGGTCTCACGTATAGTTACAACGGCTGCCCCACCCTTCAAACCGAAACGCATTACTGCTTCACGGTAGAAATAGGCAGGGTGGTGGTACCCACCCGCGCGGACTCACAAGAGGTCCTGCCACCAGTAATTACGCAAATTATAATTTTGCGGGTTTCATTTTTACTACACGATGTTATTCCATCACCGTGGAAATCAATCGTGAACATTTGTTGAGTACGTATTTCATTAGAAAAATTGGTACCCGCCTGAGATTCGAACACCGGTGCATCGCTCAATACGAATACACCGGACGTCTTATCCGTTAGGCCACGACGACTTCAGAATTTACTATATAATCTCTAAATTCATGAACTTAACCTAACTATTAACATTACTTAATCGGAATTATCAAAATCAAAAGCTACTACTAGAATTATCGAAAACTATTACTATAACCTAAAGTTTCTAGATACAAGAAAAGTTACAATTCATATTAATTGATCAAGGCACGATTTCACAATTCTACTAAAAATTTCTAAGATCTATTGAGCTGCAGATTAACATTAAGGTAATGCGATATTGATAGCAATGGTATATTATATAACCAAATAATATTAACGAGAAATGTTTATTTCATTGTTGCTAAAATAATAAATTGATTCGCAGAATTATGAATGCCAGATGAAGGCCAGAGGTGAAACAAAATTCTAAGATTACTTTCGGAAGTGTGCCAAAAACTACTTAAAAATTTTACAACACAAGATTATTTTCTTCTTTGAAATTAAGACTTCTTATCTGTAATATACCTACCAAAATTCATTAATAAAAACTTTGAATATCTTTCTTAATTTAAAAGAGATTTATAATATTGTTACGCAACTTGGTATGCTATTCGATGCTTGATTTTATCTAACACTGCTGAAAATGCAGTCCTAAACAACAACACAAAGATTTATAATTAAACCCTTTCCTAAGATCAGTGCCACGATTATCAATTTCCTATCTGCTAAGCTAATTAAAAACAAATGAAAATAATTCAAGAATTTATATACAGTTCAAATATTTTAAGAACGAAATTAGCCCCAGATCCGAATGGTTACCAAAATAAAAAGTAAGAAATGTAATACAGTAGTATTCATATCTGCAAATCTGCAAATCTGTTTTACAAGTAATTCTTAGATTTGTTTTATCATCAGTTTATAGAAAAAAAACAATTATACTTTCGCATTTTGTAATTAATTGATGTAATGTGATGCAAACTTGTTACTATTTTATTGTATGCTGATGTAATGTAATGCAAACTCAACACGATGTGAAATAAAAAGGAGAATTAAACCGTTTTAAGTACAAAATCGTGTACGTAACACAATGTTTCAAGGCAAACAAAGTGTTAAACAAAATCACGAAATGCATTAATAATTAAACACACTATTTCATAAAAGATGTTTTTTTCATTGTAGTAACAATGGGGTACCATTATATTATTCTTTCATAGAATTCACTGAACAACATTACTGTATTAACATAAGAATAAACCTATCAGGCGTTCCATTTATTCACTAAAGAACTCAATGTTCGAAAATATATTTTCTATTCACGTTTAAATCCCTTATCATATTTCTTCATTAAACTAAGACAACTTTGAAACGCAAAATGTAAAAATTCCTGAGATATTGACAGCCAACTGAACATGTGCTTTTATGATAAGCTATAAGCCGGTAGGTATGTTATAAAACAATTCTCGAAATAGCGACGCGACCCGATAACCCTCTTATCAAGGCAGCCGCAAACTATATACCTGATCGTAATGACCAATCCATATACCGTCACCATCGTTTTAAGCACGTCATTTAGGATTCCTTCCGGTCTACTATCGGTGACCGGACCATTCTGAGGCTGTCAAAGCTTTTGCTAGCGCAGATGCTAGCAAACTCTCATAAGTTAAGCCCCGTGAGCGCGCCTACACGATCGGTGAAACAAGCATAACCCCACGAGGAAAATAAAATTCCGCTATCCTTTATTAACGTGCGCCGCAGTTTTAGCAGTTTCGTTCGTCACTTAGCTCGAAAATAAGTATTGAAATAAATGAATGCATTATTTAATGTTCACATACAAATTATCGCTTATCCGATTCAGATTTAAATTTATTAGTTTGATGGGTGGACGAGCTCACAGCCCACCGGTGATCGAAGCCCCTAGACATCAACAACGTAAATCTCGCCACCCACCTTGAGACATGAGGTCTTAATCTCAGTTATAAAGTACATCGGTTACCCCACCCTTTGAAACAAAACGCATTATTGTTTCACGACAACAATAGACAGGGTGGTGGTACATACACGTGCTGGCTCATAATACGACCCTTACCACAAGTATCTAATCAAAAAACTTAGACTGTATTTAATGATAAATAAGTAAACAAATAGGTTAGATATTAAATTAAAAAACGTAGTATAAACGCCTCTACATGACGACATTACACAAAAAGAAGCCATTCTTAAGCACGTCAGTCTAGTACTCGTATAATAACGAAAAGTGTTGTATTTTATATTATACTAGCTGACCCGGCAGACTTCGTAATGCCTCAATCGATAAATAAAAGACCTAAGCTTTTGTATAAAATAAACTTAAAACAAACAAAAGGAATCCAAAAAAAATCAAAGGAAAAACAAAATTGTTATTTTTATTTAATTCCGAGCATTTTCATATTTATCTACCTTTTAAACCTTCTCTAGACATTCACAAATAATTCAAGACCAAAATTAGCCAAATCGGTCCAGCCGTTCTCGAGTTTTAGCGAGACTAACGAACAGCAATTTATTTTTATATATTATAGAGATAAAAAAATATAAATATTATACATTTAAAAATCTGCGACATTTAAGTACTCGAAATTTATTAATTTATGAAATTAATTAAAAGGCTATTGAGTAGCACAAGTTATTTGTATCGTTCATAATTTTCTTTATAATTCATTAATTCAGTAAAAATATTCAAAATTTACCACACCTTTAGCGTTATATTAAATAAATAATATGATTCTCAACTTTACGTCAAGACCAGTGAGTGAGCAGCAAAATTCAATTCCATTTGGGATTGATGTTAGAGGTTAGAAGATTATGGATCATAAATTTTAAATTGCATCTTGAATGATATCTTATTACCATCAACTCATGGTAAGTAGCCCGCACTTTGTTTTAACAAATGAGTATTTTAAATAAGTTGGCCATAGCCTGCAAAACATAATAGATATCAGCATTACATACATGTTTATGTATGTATATGGTAAATATTCAAGTAATTAAGTATGTAGACTACATTAAAACTACAAAATAGAAATCGAAAGTAGTAGATAGTAGCTACTGGTTATTTGTTAAATAAATTAAATGATATTGAAAAACAAAACAGTGATACAAATAAACTCTCCGTGTTGAACACCAACTGAACTACATTTCACTTCAGCATCTGAAAATTAAAAAAATAAATAAAGGTACGTAACAACATAAACAATACATACCTGTTGTGAGATTGCAACCAGTTAAGTACCCCTTCACATCTGACCCCGGAAAAAAATATATCACAGATCAACTTCTTAATACTTAATACACTTCGATGCGAAAACTTTTTCGATGGTAACAAATTATTCTTATGTCTTTGTTTGTACACTGCCTATGAGTGTTGTTGTGTGTATGATGGATGTCGTATTGAAGATGGAGTGGGCACGGGATGCGCGCGCCGCCCGCCCTGCGCGGCCTCGCCCGGGAGACAGGTCCGATCACCGAGTGCGCACGGTTAAACAGCTCCGCTAATATTAGTGAACAGATTTTCGCAAGCCGGAGACTCGTGAGGAGGTCGGCCGACGGACGACTGCCGCTTGGCAACGATACTACGTAGACACCTTAAAGGTATCGCGCATGCGTCGCTACTAAGCAACGGAACTTACCCCGTAACCAAGGCAATATTGACTGAAACTTCAGCTGAACATACCTATAATATTATCTGAAGTAAAACGTGCCTGTACGTTGCATTTCAGCATATCTAAGTTGATTTATTTACTCGTGTAGACCCAAGTGAAGAATGTACGCGTTTTATATAAGTTTTCACTATTCTGAACATTGTTTTTTATGAAACAAATATTTTCTCAACTAAAATAGCTGTTCAGTTGTTTTATAAAACCTATATTTTGACTACTGTTAACAAAATTAATACACAATTTTATCTTCGTCAGCTTATAGAAACAGAGTTATCAGCAACATGCTTCGTCAAAAAGTACAATACTTACTTTCAGCTACAAGCGTCGTTTTATTAAATATTTATATTTCTTTTTTAATTTATTTGCTCTAGATCAGTGATTATCAAACTCATTTCTTTTACCGCCCCCTTTACAATTATTAAAACAATTATTTTTCAGCACCCTGTATTTTTTATACACCCCTAAAACTTAATAACAACAATTTGTTTACTTTAATTAATTTAGTTATATTAGTCGTTTCTGATGTTTAAACTCACATTCTAAACTAGAAAATTTTACCAGTGAGAGCAAATACAACCTAACTTTATAATATTAATAAAATATTTTAATGAAATTAAAAGAAAAAAATATACATATTATGTAATCTGTTTTCGTTTTTATACTAATATAATGAGATGAATGAATTTGATGATATTTAATAAGTTTGGTTCGATTTTACTCAAAAACAATGTACGTCGCCGCGTTTGGTAACTTGCAGATTATTTCTATTTTTAGTAAGCAACGTTGTCACAGCGCTAAATCCACGTTCACACAAATATGACGATGGGAATGCTAACAAAAATCGTTCAACGATAGACCACAATCCAGGGTACAACTGTTGAATTGACTTTTGTAGCCAAAATTGTTGGTAGCATTTTTTTTTTTTCTCTTTCGTTGTCAGTTCTATAAGTTCTTCTTCCATCTGGGGTGATACTGCTATGTTAACATTTGAAAAAGGATCTAACACCCAGTCTGGTATTTCCAATTTCAAAATGTTTTAATTTTAATGAAATTGAAAATACTATATAAAGTAAATGAAATTACAAATTATACATCAGCCCCCTAACCCACATCAACGCCCCCCATTTTATCTGGGCCTCTTAACGCCCCCCTCTATGTTTCAAACGCCCCCAAGGGGGCGTTATCGACCACTTTGAGAAAGACTGCTCTAGATGGAAAAACTATTTCACGGCCTACCTAGTCTTAAATGATTACTGAAGTTCATAGACATCACAACTTGAGTCTACCCACCGCCCATCTCGAGATGTGAACTAGAAATTTGAATTGTATTCTAACATCTTCACCTTTCAAACCGTAATCCACAATTATTATCTAGCAGAAACGCGTAGAACGTTATACCAATAAAATTATACCATCCATATCGCAGAGCGGCCACCGCCGTTGACAGACATCGCTTATGCCGGGGCACAAACGCGACGCTGTCAACCGTGATACATACTTAACTCTTTTGAAGAGCGGCTGATTGTAGCGATTCAAAAATACCTACCATAAAGAAAAGTCAAATTCTGAATTTCCCAATTAAATTATCAATTTAATTTCGAAAAATATTCTTAAAAATATGTTAATATGTTTACTCATAATTGTGATGAATTCAAATTTACTACTATCCAGTTTATTGCACGTAATCAATAGACTTTAGACACGCGCCTGCAGCGATTGTGAGTCATACTAATTTTGAAATACATACATACAATAACAACGTCGTTTAACATTGCCTTGAAGTTTTCATAGAGAACTTATTAGCTACTTTATTAACACTTTTATGTAGGTTATACTTTACAAATAACAATATAATCGACCGTCAAATTATTTCCGTTCGGTTACGCTTGTTCCGTATTTCCGGATATTTGAAATATATTAAATAAAATCAAATCGCTAAAAGTAATTACTAGCTTTTATTTGTAGTTTATGTAAACAATTACATTTATCATAGGAGGAGACCTTGTCATGGGATATGCGAACATGGATTTGCTTCTAAGAAAAAGAATGCAGACAGTTTTCTTAGCGTCGTCGTAACCCAAACAATAAGGGATAGCGATACAATTTTTACTGGTGGTAGGACCTCTTGTCAGTCCACACGGGTAGGTACCACCACCCTGCCTATTTCTGCCGTGAAGCAGTAATGCGTTTCGGTTTGAAGGGTGGGGTAGCCGTTGTAACTATATTGGAGACCTTAGAACTTATATCTCAAGGTGGGTGGCGCATTTACGTTGTAAATGTCTATGGGCTCCAGTAACCACATAACACCAGATGGGCTGTGAGCTCGTCCACCCATCTAAGCAAAAAATAATAATAATACAAGATTAAAGGATAGGTACATTGATGTTCAAAACACAAGGCAGTTAAGCTGATAGCCTTGAGAGGCTATATCAGCGTCGCCTTAACTAGTAGGCGAGCTCACGGGGCTCAAACCTGATGACCTTGCTAACACGAACCCTAGCAGGAGCCGTGCTTCGCAGAATCTACCACCGGATCGACTGAGAAGATCCGGCGAAAAACTCAGTGGGCTGTGTCTGAGGGTTAATTTACTCGTCGAGCCCTTCGTCGCAAGCGACGGGTCCGAAGAGAACGATGACCGGTGCCTGAGGTAGGTTTTCTCAGGCATGCATAATTCACGCTTCTAAGCAAAAAAAAGTTAAATAGTAGAGTAGAGAAAACTTTTATGTGCCAATAAATATACATAACAAATCAATTAGAAGGTAGACATCTGTAGGTAGAAAGGTCGAACTTGTCACTAAAAGCGATGTCTTACATCGGTATGCTTAGTGCGAGTTTTTAATGTTCTCGGATAGCGTAAAAGCTAACTCAAAGTAGGTATGCAGTTGGGACAGCGCAGCGCCCCTAGCGGCAAACGTAGGCAAATGTTCCAACTTCATACACAGTTAACTTTTACGGTATCGAGAACGTTAAAAAATCGCAACACACAGAAGCATTTTGAAGTGACAATTGAATACAGCTATTAAAATTCATAAATTATTGGTCGCAACCTTGAAATTAATATCATTTTTTACATAATTTTACTGATGGTAGGACCTCTTGTGAGTCCGCGCGAGTAGGTACCACCGCCCTGTCTATTTCTGCCATGAAGCAGTAATGCATTTCTGTTTGAACGGTATAGAAGCCAATGTACTATAAAAATGAGAGAGAGCTCGCGTCTGAAGGTCTTTGTTGATTTCATTGACATCCGATAACCACTTAGCACCAGGTGGGCCCCGAGCTCGTCCATCCATTTAAGCAATAAATAAAAATTTATTCAATTTTATTATAACTAATTTTATTTCAGTAAGAACTGAAATCATCTTTGATTAATAGCCTCTCGAATTTAGAATTGATCAGTGTTTTCAAATGAATAGAGGCGTGATGACTATTTCCATAAAACAAATGGTCTGATTTTAAAGTACAAATGATGTTATGAAGAAATAAATGGATTGGGAACGATTGAGCGGAAAACAGGAAAGTCTTTGTCTGTCATGGATAAAATAGTTTCGAAAAGAGGGCAGCTGCCTGTACCTTCTTACCTGGCTACGCCCATGGCTGACAGCATAGTGCGCACACTTACTTGGTATAATATATCTAGGAACAAAATAATCAGATAACCAAAGTTAATACAATAGCATTAATGAGGGTAAAATAATACTGAAGTTCAAATAATCGCTATCTTTCTAATCTACTTTTGATACCTACATACAGTATTGAGTTTCCAATATTATACGAACGAATTACGAAAATATCAAACTTTAAGTCCAATATTAGTTTAACTAATTAAAATAAAATCTTAATTATTATAACTTTACTATTTATACAGTTTCGTTGTAATTTTAGTGTGGCAAATAAAAACTATAATATGGTAATCCATACTATAATAGGTGCCTTAATTTTTTTAAAGTTAATTTTAAATCGTGAGATCTGATGTCGTGAGATAAATCGTGAGGTTCCCTGCCTTTTTGCATAAAATTGCTGCGAACATCGGTTGCCGGTCAAAATGATTAAATAGGAGTAGATTGTCAAAAATATAAATATTGTTTAAATTCGAGGGTTTCGTCTATGTATGTAACTTTTTAGTTTTTGATATAACACTTAATTTATGTAACAAAAAGGGCAAATTGTACATCTACAGAACAAGATATCTTTGCACTCTGATTTAAAAATATCGATATTTTGACACATGACGTTTTTAACAATTTGACATAAAAATACATTCGCAGTGCATTCGTGATCTGAGTGCATACGTATGTACATAAGTACCGTACTGTTTAATTAAGTGCATTATTTATGTTATATATGTACCAGACAGAAAACAGTTGCTGTTTTTTTCCAATTTAACAGTGTGAACATAATTTTTTTTTACTTAAATTTTTGTTTCAATAATTGCCAAGTATATGCTATACTTGTTTAAATGTACTTTTATGGGTACCTATTATTTTTCACCGAATTGTACACATTATATATATACTTAACAATAGAGAATACTAAGACCAAAAGTTAACAAGGATGTCGTCATTTCACGAAAGACAGAAAAATTTATTCAATCTGCTCAAAGACGCTGAAGAACAGTACAGTTTTTCGAAATCTAATAAAGTCACAACAACCCAAGATTATGGCACAATTGACAGAAAAAGTTACAGAAAACTCAAGCACGAAATGAAGCAATTCAGAGGTAAACAAAGTATATTCAAACGGCCTGAAGCTAACATAAGGGAATGCCTAGAAACTAAAGCTGTACCAGATCATGTAAAAAATCCTGAGAAATGGAAATATTATTCACTCTCGGATGTAACAACTGAGCAAATGTCAGACGCAACCAACACAGCAACTGCATTGGCTTTTATAAAAGAGTTGGAAGAAAAACATGAGGATCATAGAACAGAACAAGAAAAACTTGATGATGATATATTTAAAAAGCCAAGATTTAATTTTTCTACTGCAATTAAAAAACGCTCTGAGGAAAAGAGGGCCATTGTTAAAGGAGGTAAAGTAATCATGCCTGAATATGTAGTTGGTATGTCAAAAAAAAAAGAAAAGAAAAACACTTTAGTAACAAAGAAACAAAGTAAAGAAACAGAGGCATGTAAAAAAATTGAATTAAAACTGGATCATTTATATGAGGAAGATAATTAAAGTTAAGGCAAATGCACTGCATTAAACAACATAAAGAAATTGTAAGTTCTAAAACCAAAATTAAGAAAGCAACCAAATACAATTGAATAATAATTGTCCATAAATTGACAACCTCATAGTGTGCCTATATTATATGTTAAAAAGATAAAGGAAGTAAATACTGTGTAAAGTGACTGAAAGAATTTGGGACTAGTTTACATTAAAAAATACATTTGAAATACTAAGACTATCGATTATCTCCTGTCTCCTGTCTACTGTGTTTGAGAAAACTGTGGTAATTGTGTTACAAACTTTTACTTGTACTTGTCAGTGTAATAATGCAGAATAATAAATACTAGTAAACATTTGGTTCATAATTTAATAAACCTTATTTATATTATTACAAGACATTTCCATAAACAATAAGTTGCCTGCTATACTTGATACATAAAGCAATGTGATTCTGCTGGATTCAAAGGAAATACATTCTTAATTTATGTACTCAAACAACTTCCACAATGAAAGAATTATATTTTGGTAATAGATATAATATCAAATATAACACTATCAATAGTTTTCTGTTCTACTAATTTTAACTACTAACCTCTATAGTTTCTAACCTATATATGCTAAGAATTAAAAAAAAATTGCGCGCGACTAAGCCAGTAATTACAGAGTGGCGGCCTCAACCCGCCATCCTGGAACCCGACAGCCAATGCTTTTGAGATGTGGTGCTGGAGAAGAATTCTCTGGATACCTTGGACAGTAAAGAAAACCAATGTGTCTATCTTAGATCAACTGCAGATCAAGACAATACTGTCCACACTCTGCCTTTGCCGCGGACTCGAGTACTTCGGTCATATTGCTCGGAAAACACTCAATAGCTTAGAGATTCGTGACAGGGAAGATCGAGGGAAAGAGACCGCGCCGATGCAGTCCGACAAGGTGGTTCGATTAAATCCGCACCTCACTAGAGATCCGATTCCACGAAGCCTTACATGCTAATGATCGGAGGCGCTGGAGGGATATTACAAGGAGTAAAATCCTGTCGAAATATAATGGTCACGACCCTCCGTAGTGAAGAAACGTCTAACACTAGGAGCAGGCTTAGGAACCCCGGTAACCGTACTCGTCGAACTCGACAAAGAGTTCGACGTGCAACCTAACCCATGAATCAGCTCGCTGAGTTTCTCGCCGGATTTTCTCAGCGGGTCGCGATTCCTATTCAATAGTAGATTCATTCTCGAAGCAGCTGCTCTTGAGCTGTTAGCTCGGGCAGCTGTTAGCAAATACCACCCCTCCTGGCTGAGCCTTTGCTCGCCCACCCGTCCTGGTGAAACTGGAAAGACCTCGGGGCCACCAGTAATCCCTCAACCCTAAAAATAAAAAAGTAAGGAAACGACGTGAGGAAGGGGAGGCCTCAACCCACGACAGGTCAATAAATAAATGCAGTGTAAGTAGGGCAAATTTCATTGGCAAACAAACAATTACATATTTCTTACACTCGTCCCTTCACTGAAACTCAACTTATATTCATATAGTATGTTCAATAGATTAAAGGCCTTATTTAGGAATTTTTCGAAGGCATTAGATATACCTATGTATATATAAACTTCAAATCACAAACATTACTAGTAGGTAGGTAATTATACTATATGCTAAATGGATCATACACATTTTCTAATTTCTGTTATTTAACAAAAACTTCATATACGTACATAACATCTTAAGCTACTGCTACCCTTGCCTGTCACCAATTTGTAGACAGTATGCCATATAAGTACAGTGTACTTAGTGCGAGTTTTTTAACGTTCTCGATAGCGTAAAAGTTAGCTCATATTTGTATGGAATGTGATCGTTTGCCTACGTTTGCCGCTAGGGGCGCTGTTCCAACTGCATTCAAAATTGGGCTGACTTTTACGCTATCGAGAACGTTAAAAAACTCGCACTAAGCACACAGAACTTAGAATTCCTTATCCAAGTAAGCCCACATTAGTGATTACGACTGACTTGTCTTCTGCAATCTGCTTCCGAAATAACCAAATAATTCCTTGATAATAATCAACTAGCCACCCTGCAAATCGTCTATTAAGTCTAAAATGTTTGAAGTCGTCATGGCCGAAAAGATCCAGTTGTTAACATCGAGCGGTGCGGCGATGGTTGTGCTCAAATCCCGCAACAAATACAATTTTTTCTTATGAAATACATACTTAGCACATGTTCACGAGTGACTATCATATAAAGATAAAGAAATAATATCATCTAATAAAAAATGTAGTATACGCAATTACCAAACAATTGAGACATAGATCTCAAGGTGGGAGGAAGCATTCACGTTATGATGTCTATTGGCATTGGCAACCCCTCGACACCAGAGATCTCGTTCAGTCGTGTTTACAATTATGAAAAAAAAAAGATTTCCTCATTTAGTATACTTTTTTTTCCCCCTACCTAAGCTGGTAGCCTTGAGATGCTATTCCAACGTAACCTTAACTAGTAGGTGAGCTCACGGGGCTCAAACCTGACGACGTTGCTAACACGAACCCTAGCAAAAGCCGTGCTTCGCAGAATCTACCACCGGATCGGAAACGCGACCCACTGAGAAGATCCGGCGAGAAACTCAGTGGGCTGTGTCTGAGGGTTAATTTACTCGTCGAGCCCTTCGTCGCAANGAATCTACCACCGGATCGGAAACGCGACCCACTGAGAAGATCCGGCGAGAAACTCAGTGGGCTGTGTCTGAGGGTTAATTTACTCGTCGAGCCCTTCGTCGCAAGCGACGGGTTCGACGAGAACGGTGACCGGTGCTTGAGGTAGCTAAAAGCAGCGTTAGTGGATCGGGAGGATCCGAGATGACGTGTTTTGGGCGACGTCGACTGCTCTCCATTCTTTCCGCAGGATCGGGAATGTTAGCATACAAATTGTCATCTTGTCAGGACCTTCAATTAATTATTTGAAGTTACCTATATATATATATTTATAACGATTTGTTTGTAATGTAAACTTTCAACATCAACAATTTGTGAACAACTGGTACCTACCAAAAAACAAGTAAAGTAGCACCAAAGCATAAATCGAAAAACAAACACAATCCATATTATGATGTAAGCTTTTATTACTATAAATCAACACTGTGATATTATTGCTGATTCAGATTTGATTTCTAAATTATCTGTCGCATTGCTGTCAGTTTTATTATCAACTGCAAAAGCACTCAGATCTCGCATCATGGAATACGCATCTTCTCCATCAGCATAGTACTTTGGCTCAATTTCTAAAATCTTAAAACCCAAAGAGTTTGTGTAAAGATTCAGTGCAGCTCTGTTGCTTTTTCTTACATGCAATGACACATATTTTGCCTGAAAAGTTAGAAAATGAAATTATTATAAAATAACAGGAACTCACAAACTTTAATAAATGCTATTTTGGAAATCTTTACCTCTGGAATAAATATTAGCAATTGACACTTATTTCAGTGTAATTAAGTTATATTGAATGCATCATTGACGGACAACTCACACAAATTTCAGTGCAGTTTTTTGCTGCACTGTGTCATATTATGCAGTATTAACAACACAGTATATAACTTGATTTAGGCGATCCTCAGTTGTAATAACTTTCAGGCTTATATTAATATTATAATTATATTAACTTTTATGGTTTAATATTTAGGTTACATACTATTTAAACTTTTTTATTTACATTGTTTCAAACTTATTATCATAATCACAGAAGACAGGGGACAGGGGTGTGATTTATCAATATAGTGCTAGCTGTGCTTGTAGAAAATTAAAATTAAATAAAAATGTAAATTCAACTATTTATAATACAGGCTCAAACATTTATTTGCTAAAAACTACATTAGTCAAGAACTGTGTTGTAGCTAAGTACCTGAACACCAGACAGCAGTGTCAGTTTTCAAATAAGACAAAATAAAAGCTAAAGAAAATAAAGAATGTTATAATGTACAGTCAAAAATACAAATAGATTTGAAACCGTTAGAATTGGGAGAGGTCTATGCCCGGCAATGGACGACTATGGGCTATTGATGATGATGTCTATGACATAAAAACTGAATAAAAAATGTATTAATTATTTCTAAGTTTACCTGAAAGCATTCAACCATTGCAAGTGATGCCTGATTCATGAGTTTCTGAGCTAATCCTAATCTACGATGTGATCTCTTTACAGCTAGAGATGTGATGTGACCATGACGATTATCCTCACCGTCCTCTTCCATTTTTGCCAAAACATATCCTGAAAGTTTATTTTATTAAAAAATGAACAATTTAGTTTATACATTCATTTTATATCATATTACAAAATTGTTTATTGAATTATTCTTTTAGTTTTTTTTTGACCATGTACTTAATATTGTAGGTGGGTTTACTGCATAGAACGGCAAATCCCACTGAGTTTCTTGCTGGATTTTCTCAGTGGGTTGCAATTTCAACCCAGTCTGCGAAGCACTGCTCTTACTAGGGCCAATGTTAAAAAACCCTCATTCATGAGTTCATGAGCTCAACAACCAACCAATGTAGTGAGAGTAGATGAGTATTGATATGTAGCAGATGTAGTGTACTAGTAGGAATGAGCTCTAGCTTGGTTTATATTAAGAACATACAAACTACACATCTTCCAAATTAAGAAGAGTTGAAGTTTAATGCTATTGGATAGCATTAAAAATAGCTACCATACCAAAAAAAAAAAAATTTTAATATGTATGATAGCTTTGAATCTGATATGGTCCCCAACTAAGTTCTGTTTTGATGAAAATGCAACTTTATTGTGAAAAATGCATACAAATTAATGATTCATCATATTGCCCAGTACTAGCCACAAGTTTTCTTATCTTTCTGGAAAATTAGAATACCTTGACACCAGTGTTGGTTTTTTGAAGCTATTCACAGATTAAACCTTTCATTCAGACCATGTGCCATCAAAGTGAACAATTAATAATGACAGTGCAAATCCTAGGGAATTGTAAAAAAGTGATGTCAGGTGGAGTAGGATTTCCTTTTGTTCTCCTGGACACCTCTTGGCTTCAACTGATAAGGAACCAGAGTGCCTTACTTTTAAACCATTCTTATACATGCAATCTATTGGAAATGGCTTGGTGAGTAACTACTAATGCAAAAGCAACCTGATTTTACATTTGAAACATATCCTCATAAAGCAATGCCTCCGATTCAGTGTCTACAAAGGCCAACATCGAAATCACAGTCTTAGAACCAATTGCATCATGTTGTTTCGCACAAAACAGCATTGCGATAAACTTTTAAGAGCACTCTATGTGCTACAGCTGCCGTTTTCTTCGAAAGAAAGAAGAAAAGTGACACTTCTCACTTGGTTTGTATAAAACAAACATTTTCACACAATGAAAAATTTATCATACAACAACAAAAACATCTAATCTGTCAAAGCAGTTTGTTTGCCATGTCTAAACTTGGTTGGCACAATTTTTTAGATCTGTTGAAAGCTGTCTTTACTGTACTTAATTTCACACCTTATAGATGAAATGATTTGATCGTTTATAAAACTACTATCTTTAGCACTCTTATCTTACCCTACATTCTTTCTTCTGTACCTCAAACAATGTGAAAGAGTATGAATCAAACTAACTTTTACATTTTTTTTATTAGGAAGTACAGATTACTACTTACCAACAATATGTCCTTTTTCATCTTCAGCTACATAACTGAGTTGGGGCCAAGAAAGTCCATGGTAGAAGTAATATTTCATCTGATAGTTCTCTGGCAGACACAATAAGTTGCAATGCTGCATGTTCATAAGGTCACTTGGTCGTGCACAACGGATATTCATCTATAATATATTTACGCATTTTGAGTGAAAAGTGTGTTTGAATAAAATTATTTATGATGGATTAAAGAAATTGTTACCTTGAATTATTTATTCTTTTCCAATTTCTTTAATTTAGGTTGTCTCACTTCTGACGCTGGAGGCGTATCTGACATACCACCTAGTAGTTCTCGAACAAATCGAAATTTGGATAAACAGCACTTCCAAACAATGTACCAACCTAGAACAGGAACAAAGGAGTCTTAGTCTAAACCATCAACATCATCTAAATCAGAGTCAATCACTAAAGACATTGAGTTAGTAATTTAAATTGAATAATTGAACTACTTACAAAATAACACAAAGACAAAAACTAACAATACACTACATACGAAGGTTATAACAGCTAAAATCACTTCCTTCATATCTCAAAAAGCATAAGTTAACAAACGGATAATTAATGACAGCACTAGGTTATTTCATAAAAATTACCAGAACAATGACTACACAAGATAAATCAAACATAAAGAACTGTTCTCGGTTATCAGTGATATATGTTTTTGCCCTACAAATTCATAGCGCCATTTTGGTTGATCCAAACCAAAAACATCGACTCTAAGTGAGCTAACCCAGTGGAAAAAATTTGCGCACAAAAAAATTAATACAGGGTCTAAAATGTTTTGTGTACATACTTCAAAATTTAATTATTTGGAGAAGTTCTTAAAATCAAATCTCTAGAATATCTACTATAACCAAACTTTTTGAAGTATAATTACGACATTATTTATAGCTCATTCTTTTTTTAAGGGATTTTATGACCTGGTATCTAAGACTTTTAGGTCAAGTGTTATTTTAATTTTAAAGAAAACTTTTTTGAAAAATGATAATAAGAAATGAAATGAAGTTGATTAATATGAAACATGCCATAAAATGAAATGAAATGAAAACGAAATGAAATGAGATGATATGGGATGAAATATAATCTCAGTAAAATGGTGGTCATTTACTAAGACTTTTTCAGGACTAGACTTTTTGGAACTGAGAATCCATATTTATTAAGTGTAATTTCTATGACTCTAATAAAATTACAAATTACGTACTGAATGCTACTGTATCTTAGAATAAAATCTATTGTTCTACTGTCACTGCTGACTCAGTGCTGACCATGATACTATTACTACTTTAAGATATGAATAACTGTGTGAAAATTACCTACTGTTAGTTTCTCATTTTTTTGTTTTATCCTGTTAACCGAATGCTGAGGTTCGGGAACTCTTGCGTCTTACTAACAATTGTAGCAGATTTTACCAATTAAGTAATATTTCCAATACCGCCAATGGATTCCGTGACTGCTGTAACTGTCATATTGTAAACTGTGTCAACTCACAAAACATTTTGGCTATTTCGGCTGTATTCCGTTTGCCTGTCCAAATCAAATAAAAAAGTATTTGTGCTTATGTGCAACCTTGAGTTTGATGTTTGTTTTGTTTTGGTTTTGGACACAAATTTTAGCTTTGGCGTTTGTGCCAAAAGTTAGGTAAGGTCATTTCTAAGCGAAATAGACCTTCTTCAAATATATTGAAAATGAATAGTCAGTTGCATGTCATAAAATATGTTTAATAAAATATAGAATCCCTAAAGTCCTTAGACAATTACTAAATTGTAGGGTACTTTTTTTGGCCCACCTAGTAACCTCAAAGGGTTATTCTGGCTTCTCCGGACGTGTACTGTGTAGGTGAGCTCGCGGGGCTCAACCTGCTGACCTGCTAACGCTAGCCTGGTAAGGGCTGTAGTGTACTAAACTGAATAATGGATGATGAAAACCTAGATGAAACTGTTTTTCTCACGTACGTACTAAATAAAATTATAATTTATTTATTCTGAATGAATTCCCTAATGATAATTTCGTTTCTCAGACGTTTTCGAAGCCCGTCCTTTACCAAAGAAGAAGTTATGCTAATATTGAATTTAATTGAGAAATACAAAGATGCCTTACTTAATAAACTGACTAGCTCGTTTGCAAGCCGTACCAAAGAAATTACCTGGATGAAAATAACGAAAGAGTTCAATAAACTGAACCCACGCCATATCAGAACCATGGAAAGTATTAAAATGAAGTGGGAAAACCTCAAGAGAGATGTAAGAAAACTATCAAACAATTTGTTGGACATAAACATTGACCAGTTGGATGAAGTGAAAAGTCGAGTCGTGTCAATGATGTGTGAAGCGGAGAACAGGACTGAAGCTGCAAAATTAAACATTGACTTAAAATTAAATGGTAAGCTGTACTCTGTAATTGGCAATATAAATAATCACACATATAATTAGGTACCTTGAGAGTATTATTTAGTAACCAAGCAAGATTTTATGAAGCAATCCTTCATTGTTTGATTGTTTTTGTGCAAATAAATTACTCTGAGTTAGGTTTAGATTGGTGGTAAAAAATATTTAAATTCAGTTATTTATTACTCCAATAAAATAAAAGTTTCCTGTACTTTATATATAAGATGATAAAATGCTGTATCACTATTAATTAGCTTCTCCATCCTTTTGAATTTCATAGGTTTATATATGTAATTGATGTAAAACTATATCAAAAGGCTATGTAAGTTTTTGGTAATATTAATTAGATAAAGTGATATTTAGGTTCAGCAAAATTTCTCTAATGTTTGAGTATGATTTCAAATATTGATTATACATAACAATAATGATTCAAGAACCTGTTTCTGATTCAACTATAATAAAAGTTAATTTTGCTTTATTCTACTAACATTGTCGACATCAAGTCACTACTCTTGTTCAACATTCCTATATAATATAGCAATTATGACCAATTCAAGTCAAATTTAAAGTTGTAGTGGCCTTTACGCCACTCCTCCAAACTTTTAGGATAAGACCCCTGGTGCATTCATATTGAACGGTGCAACTGTTAGGTGTTTCAATCCTGCAGGCAGGTACCAATTGTTCTAATGAAATACATTCTTAACAAATCATCATTAATGACTTCTACTGTGAAAGAATAACACCGTACCAATAATCAAACATATAAAACGTTTTTTTTTTTTTTTTAATGCTTAGATGGTTGGACGAGCTCACAGCCCACCTGGTGTTAAGTGGTTACTGAAGCCCATAGACATCCACAACGTAAATGCGTCACCCATCTTGAGATATAAGTTCTAAGATCTCAGTATAGTTACAACGGCTGCCCCGCCCTTCAAACCGAAACGCATTACTGCTTCACGGCAGAAATAGGCAGGGTGGTGGTACCCACCCGCGCGGACTCACAAGAGGTCCTACCACCAGTAAAAATGTAAATGTAATATAATGTCTAAATGAAATGTAATGTAACTAGTGGGAAGGTCTGTATTAAATAAAAAAAATCAAACTCTTTGTTTTACAAAAACAATCTGTGCGTTTTGGTTTAAGGGATAAATTTCATAAAAGAATACTTATTATAACACAAAAATAATTTACGAACTTCCAAATGTAGTTACAAAATACTCTATTAATGAAATCAGTGTCTACTTAGTAGTTTTCAGTTTTTCAAATTTTTTTTTTAAACTACAAACAAAAGTTTCAGGAATCTTTCAACCTTTACAAGATGTTTTTTGAATATCTTTCAACATTTCAACTATTATTTATTCTTTGCAGATTTTGAAGAACAAGATGAAATTGTAACAAATGTGGCAGAAAATGAAACTTCAGCAACACATGAAGAAATATATTCTAACAGTTAAGTACAGTATACATAATATTTATTATAAACCAAATATTAATTTATTTATCTATTTTCACATCTTAATTAAATACCAAGTGTTTTAAATAAAAATTTTTAAAGGCTTGGTAGAGTACATTGGTACAGGGTACATTTGACTGACACTTCAATCTTTGAGATATATTTTGTCATTCCTGTATCCTATATTCCTCATTCTCTCAAACACTAGCGTGAAGTCTGCCCTAGCATTTTGAGCTATAGTTTAGAGATATGGTTCATCACTATTTGTACCTATTAAATGATGTACTTTTTTCAGATAGCAGTAGTTATGATGATGATGAGAGTGATATGACAAGGTGAGCCTATTACAGATTAATAATATATAATATAGCAGCGGCTTGGCTCTGCCTCTGGCATTGCTGAAGTCCACGGGCGACGGTAACCACTCACTATCAGGTGGGCCGTATGCCTATAGGGCAATAAAAAAAATGTTAAAATATTAAAAAACATAATTTTTATTTTCGACAGATCTCAAAGAAGTCCAGGTTTTAGAAGAGATGAAATAATACTATTAATATCATTGATTGAGCAAAATCTGAATATAATCTTGGACAAAAGCACAAAAACAACAATAAATGTAGCCAAAGAAAAAACTTGGATGCAGATAGCTGAAATGTTCAACAAACAGAACAAACAGAATAGAATCCAGCGCACTGGAAACCAGTTAAAAACGAAATGGGAAAATCTGAAGAAAATGGTGAAAAAATGTAGGAAAGGCTCTAAATATGACCAGCATGAGTGGGATAGTATTTTAGATAAGGTCATTGAAATAATATCTTTATCTGAAAATAAAAATAAGGAATTTGATCCTAATGAATCTAACTGTGAGTTTAACGGTAAGACATTTTTACAATTCAAGTCAAAATATATGGAATATTTGAAATACTTAGAAGGAATTTAACAATAAAATTCATGTTCGTATACCTGTAATGTTATGTAAAATATGTATAATATATTTGAGTTTTTCAATGTTAGTAAACCTGAACTATGTCCACAGAATTGGATGTATTGAATGGCCTGGATAATACCACAAACGGACATAGCTTTGAAGACAATATTTCTGATGGTATGACTGTTTAATTAATTTTCAAAGTGTAAAGAAACTATTCCTGAAGGTTACTAAAGTATTTTTTTTGTGAATTCGTGTTCTCTTTCAAGACAGCTTACTGCGCACCTTGCGTTCCTTCGATATCGGAGATTTTGTGCGTCAATAATTATGACATCCACAGTTCATGAGAGGGTAGTGTTCTTCTAGACTAGTGGCTAAGTCATTTCAATGGAAGAAGTTAAAGTAACTCGATTCAAGTTTTACCATATTGCAAACTGTATCAAAAACAACGAAAAAATGTTCTCAAGACATTTTTTTGCGTAACATTTAAAATGGAACTAAAATTATTAATATGTGTAGCTGTGAACAATGTCAGATTAGTGTATGATATTTTTCGATACTTTTATCGAGCTTGAAAGCCACCGGGTCTTATCATATAATTATAACTCTAAAGTTTTTGTTAAATAAATATACTGCTTTGTTCCAGATTATAATATAGCCAACAATGCTACCATAAGGTAAAATTAATTTCCTTTGACCGTTTTAAATTTCAAAAAGCTTGCCTATGTTGAAATTAGAATTTCTTGGAACTTCAATATCTTTATTCTTATTGCTGCTAGGGAGTACCGTGAGCAAGTATGTTTTTTATTTTATTTTTTTATTGCCTTTTTAGGCAGACGGGCATACGGCCCACCTGATGGTGAGTGGTTACCGTCGCCCATGGACTTCAGCAATGCTAGGGACAGAGCCAAGCCGCTGCCTACCGCTAAACCTACGCCTACCTGTTCGGGGTCTGTATATTTTAATTGCGGACTTCGTTAATAAAAAATAATAAAGCGATAAGTTTTAATGAAATGAATATTGTTATTAATTTTCCAGTAAGCTAAGCAATTTATTAATGTCATTAGCCCACTGAGTTTCTCGCCGAATCTTCTCAGTGGGACACGATTCGGTTCCAGTGGTAGATTCTGCGAGGCACTACTTTGGCTATGGCTAGTGTTAGCAAATTCTCTCAGGTTTAGCCCGTGAGCTCACCTACCTATCAGAGCGTAGCTGGAATAATAGCCTCTTAAGCTATACCAGCGAATAGGGAAAAAAAGGCTGTTACATACACGAAAAAAAGTGTTGTTACAATTTTCAGAGATAGAAAAAGTAAATTCTACGATACATCAAGAAAATTTTCACCTCACGAATGTAAATTGCTCATGCAATGTGTGAAACAAGAAAAGAAATCGATGGCTGTACCGAATTCGAAATCCAATAAATTTAAAAGTTTGGCTTGGATAAGGGTATGTACTCATTGTACTAATTGTTGTCAGATTTCATTTCTTATCCCAGTCACACTGATTACGGGTCGTAACTAAGTAACTATACATATATTTTTCAGTAGGTATAGTATAGTAAGTAAGAATACTTATTTTCTACACTGTATGATCTAGCACGAATCGGTATCATCATTCCGACTATTTATTTTCGTTTAGTGCTCCTAATTCAAAATATACTGTAGATGTACACAAAACTGAGTCACATGTAAAATATAAGGACATCCCTGTTAAGAATGATTTCATATAAAACAACTTGGCCTAAAGGTCTAGATACCAGGCCATAAACTCAAAAAAAAAAAGAAATATATAAAACAACTGCATATCAGAGATAACTTTGACTAACTTATTTTGATGCTATTCTTTATATCAATTAAAGAACAGAGGAGGGAAGAAGAAGTCTACCTGATGGCGAATGGTCACCGTCGCTCGTTAATATCAACAATACTAGACTCTCGAGGACTCTTCTAATCTCGTTTTAAGAAAGATAGTGAAAAGAAGTTCCTTCTAGAGCCGGGTAGTTACGGAAACCTGGCGAAAAGGATCTTTGGAAACGTGCTATGGAGGAACGCGTGACGCCAGGAACTAGAGATGAACTTCTACTCCGATGACCGGTGGTGTGGTGGTAAAATTATAATGTGAGGGTCATCTCTAAATCTCAGCTTTGGGTTAACTATTATGACTTATTTTAAACTTAGTACTTACTAATGTTACTGTTTAACCTCTCTTTTTTCATTACTGAACCATTAATTATTAAACCGTACTTACTTACTAAATGGCCTGGTTTAGTTGTCTATGGACGAAACTCATTGAAAACTGAATAACATATTTTTCATAGATTACTAAATCATACAACAGGCTAAGTCCGCAGAAAAGATCCACCAAAATGCTCAGAAGCAAGTTCAATAACTTGACGAGATTAGCAAGAAAGATTAGCTTCAAAGGTCCAATTGTGGATATGTACAAAAATCGTGGCGGTGGTAACGGGGACGATGGTCGCGAGGTGAGCTCTACATTACCCCAATACTTTTAGCAATAAATAGTACTTTCTACCATACAATACTACCATATATAAATTTTACTGGTGGTAGGACCTGATGTGAGCGCGCACGAGTAAATACCACTCTGCCTATTTCTCCCCTGAAGCAGTAATGCGTTTCAGTTTGATAGGCGGACAACACAAGTCATGTCTGAAGGTGGGTGGTGGCATTTCGGTTGTTGATGTCTATGAGCTCCTGTAACCACTCAACACCAGGTAGGCCCTGAGCACGTTTACCCATCTAAGCATTGAAAATAAACCCAAGCGTTACGTAATGGTGTTTATTTATTTATTTATTTTTAACGAAAATAAGATCGAGATCGAAAACATTTCAAGATACTCATGTCGGTTTGTATATTAAGAAAATAAATGTATATTTATTATTTTGAAAACAATTGTTAGAGCAATATAAATAATGGAAATTTTTCATAAATAAAATGTAATTTGCTCCGAATACGAAATTTATCGAATAAGCAAAGTAAAATTAATTTACATTGTTAAATTGTTTTAAGTAGGTTTTAAAAAAGGAGGAAGGAAGCAGGATTAAACCTTTTTATTGATGGGCTACGGTGGGTTATGGAGGCTCATACTTTCTTTGTCAGAATAAGGATATTTCTAGAACCAAGGTAATCGACATGCGAGGTTAAAGTGGCCGTAGTCAGAACCCATTGCTCGTTTAACTGATTCCGCTGGGGGCAAACTTCTCGAGTGGTAACACCGCAGCGTGGCCTCCCACAAGGTCAAGGGCAAATCGCAGACAGCACAAGACCGGTCACTGTGGCGGACCTTGATCGAGGCCTATATCCAGAAGTCACTCTGAACGCTGATGATGATTATGTGATGACAAGCACTTCAATTGCCCTTGAAATAACGTAAATCATGATTTAAAAAATAATAAAATCTAAATATGTATTGAAAAATGCATCGAATTTCAGTATATCGTAAAACGAGAGCCTTCCGAAAAAGACTATTCTGATCTCGATGAAATATGTGATGATGATAATGATGCAATCCCTCATAACGATGATCACAATAGTGTGAATGCAACGGATTTCATTCAGGACCCACTAATGACAGTTCTAAATACGGATTCCGGTATAGGTGAGTTAATAGATGAATAACTCAATAACACGCCTACCAATTTCGATGATTATTGTTTTTAGTGTATATTAATTTGTTTTGAAATACCTTTTTTTTTCAATTATTCTATTTACAATTATGTTAACTATTATGTTAATGATGATTCAGAAGGTGTAAAATATAATACATAATAAAATATAATCTAAATATTGAGGTGTCAGATTAGGCGAGTTATTAACTTTGGCGAACACTATTTCATAAAATTATTTCATATATATTTTTTTAGATGTAACACAGACCGAAGACAAAGAGGTGACCAAATTAAAAATAGAATTGTTGAGTTATAAAAAGGAAACTGCCAAGGTGAGATACAATGGAATGAGTGAGATGATACTAAATCTTCAAAATTTTGCGGGTCTTAACATGAGGTCAAGAACGATATAGCATTGGTGTTGTTACAAGCTGAGGTTTAGGATACAATAATAAATTCGATTTTAACATATAACAATTCTCCATATAAAAATAACAGACAATCTAAATCGAGTTATCACGTCACAAGACATCGTTTCCCCCTATACCACCTTTTTCGCGACTGGGCAGATTTTCCGGGATTTAAAAAAAAACACAACAATGTGACACGAAAGCTATCGAACGAAAGCGTGTCTCGTGAACGTCCGTACAGATCAACAGCAGCAGCAACAAGTTCTAAATGTTTTTTTTTTATCATTCTCCTGCTCTTTCATACTCCTCTATCATATACCATTTCTTCGCTCACTTCCCTCTTACACATGTCGTCTTTCACGTTTTTTTTTTGTGTAGGCTAAAAGGCTATTCCAGATATCCCTCTATACCTATTACGCAATAGTATTCACTCTATATCACTACACTCTCAGCTCACTGAGTTTCACGCCGGATCATCTCACTGGGTCGCGCTTCCGATAAGGTGGTAGATTCTGCGAAGCACTGTTTTTGCTAGGGCCAGTCAAGGAGAAGCTGAAATAGCATCTCAAGGCTATCAGCATAGGTAGGAAAAAAAAAACACTCTAATCTACATATTGGATCACCGTTTACTCCCAATTGTATCGTTTTTCTCGCTCAAGTCAATTCTCTCTCGTTCGTTTCCGCTTATGTCAATTGTCAGAGCCCCATCACTATTAGCCAAAAGATGGCTCCCGCTATTACTAGTCACGTTTGCCTAAAATATTTAATATACATTTCAGCTTGAAAGGAGAAGGATAGAGAACGCTATGGAATCGGATGCATTAGAAGCATCGTTGCGATTAAGGGCTGCTAGACTTGAAGCCGTCGCGGCCGCCACGAAGCTACCCCGATCCCACCCCGCCCTCGGGTTCACCCCCGAAGAAGCTAGGGCCGAAGAATATCTGCTTCGGTATCAGAATACCTGATGTAACCGTAACGTGTTTGGGGTTACAATATTAGCGAAACATTCGTTTGAGGTTAGAATGAATCTTAACGCATTTACTAAAATTAGATTCATTGTTACGATCGTCAGTAATATTTTAGATAAAATGAAGACTGAGTTATGTGTTAAGTGTATCGTATTGTTTGTAGGAATTTAATTATAAAATTGAATTAATATTATAAAATTGGATACCAAAGCCAAAGGCCTAATATATTTCGTACTTTGTTTTTTTTATTTTACAAAAAAGCGATTTAAAAAAAAACATGTGTGCAATTCACACCTGGTAGAAGTGAAACCTTCCAAAATTAAAATACAATTATCCTAAACGTCTTAAGTATATGTAAAATTTTGTCATTAGTAAATAATTGTAAGGTAGCGCCCTCTGTGAATTGATATTTTAATTTCACGTATAATCCTAAATTAAAATTCACTACAAGAGCTTTCATACACACGTTAGTATTAAAAAATCTCACAGATGACGCTGTATTAAATAGTATGTATATTTCTGTCTCATTCTTTNATTTATTTGAATATAATCGTCTCCTTCAAAGAATACGGTTCAAAACCTGCATTAAATAAAGGTTAATAGTTAACCTGTTATTTATCTAAGATGTCGTTCCGAAGAGTTTTGTGACTGCCAATGGAATACAAAGTCAATAATTCGTTTTTCTGATTTACCAATCATTGTCCAAAAGTCACATTGCCGGCTTTGATAATAGTCGACTCATATATAGATAGATTATTATAATTTATCGATTTATTTTTCGAGAGATGAGATTCTAGTTCTATGCTTTGCTATTTGCTCTTGTTTCATACATGCATGGTTACAAGCATAGCACGAGCGAAAATTCACGTAACTTCCTTTGCTCCGTTCAATAGGGTATTTACAAAATTCTCCGCTTCGAAAGCAAAGTTTTTCGATAGTCTACGTTTTTTTTCACACCGAGAATTATGATGTAAAATTTATCGTATATAACAAATAAGCGGCCAGATATTTCTACTGTGTTTATATGTTTTTTTTTAATATATTACTTACAAATAAAATGCCAGCACTCAAATTACTATTAGTTCTTTGTATGCGAAGAGAAACGTCAAGGATTTTTTTATAGAAATGTTGACGGTAGTTATCACAATACTGGTGGTAGGACCTCTTGTGAGTCTGCACGGGTAGGTACCACCACTCTGCCTATTTCTGCCGTGAAGCAGTAATGCGTTTCGGTTTGAAGGGTGGGGCAGCCGTTGTAACTATACTGAGATTTTATAACTTATATGTCAACGTGGGTGGCGCATTTACATTGTAGACGTCTATGGGCTCCAGTAACGACTTAACACCAGGTGGGCTGTGAGCTCGTCCACCCATCTAAGCAATAAAAAAAACAATACTCAATTGTCGACGCGTGCCAATCGCTTCAGTCGTCCCTGACTACGAAACCTGTAAAGTATATCGAAATTTTAGAACTAATAAACGCGAGATTAAGCCATTAAAGTACTTTTATTTGTATCTACTGTAAGGTTTGTTGTAAAATAATTAAAATAAAATTTATCATGTTATAGTTAAGGCAATTTTCGGATAGCCAAATAGCAACACTGTTGGTGGTAGCAATGCCAGTAGTGGGGTCGTTAGATAATAAAAGAGGCGGTAGTCTGAAAAACTGGACAGAAATCAGTGTATACGGTAGTGAGCAGATGTTTAAAGATTGTAAAAGTGGAGTTACAAATAAAGCAATACAGAATTAAGTAAACTACTGCAATCTGTGTATTATTTCCTGACTGTTGGAAGTGGAATTCTACACTACAATTCGAAAATACCGAACAAAGTTCTTTAATTCTCTAGTATATTTTTCTAAACATCTATTTTTATGCGGATTGTGTTTTTAGACCTTTCCATCTTCACTACGATCGGTGAGCGGGCAAAGGCTAAGCCAGGAGGGAAGGGATTTGCTAACAGCCGCCCAAGCGCCTCCGGAGGTGACCTGACAACTCAAGGGCAGCTGCTTCGCGAAGGAATCTGAACTACACTATGTATGTTGGAGGACATCCACGTTTGGCATCGGGATAAAAGACGACCTATACTCTTACCCAAGGTATTTTTTTTTGCTTAGATTGGTGGATGAACTCACAGCCCACCTGGTGTTAAATGGTTACTGAAGCCCATAGACATCCACAACGTAAATGCGCCACCCACCTTGAGATATAAGTTCTAAGGTCTCAAGTAGTTACAACGGCTGCCCCCACCCTTCAAACCGAAACGCATTACTGCTTCACGGCAGAAATAGGCAGGTTAAAACTGTTTCCAATTTCCTCGAAACCGGCCCAGCGATTTAGGCGTCAAATATTTATAGAAATAATCCCCTCCTCGCGTCGATAATCCTCAATGCTGAGGGTCGTGAATTCTTCTAACAACTTTCTCCTGGATTATCCTGCACCATTCCTGCCTATCCTCGGCTGTGTGGGTAGCAAGAACTAAGTCTTTCGCATTTACAACTTTAATACGGATATTAACATATTTATTATTTATTTGTTACTAGCTGACCCGGCAGACTTCGTAGTGCCTCAATCGATAAATAAAAGACCTAAACTATTGTATAAAATAGACTTAAAACAAACAAAAGGAATACGTCCGACGGGGGACACGTCAAAGGAAAAACAAAATTGTTATTTTTATTTATTTCCGAGCATTTTCATATTTATCTACCTTTTAAACATTCTCTGGACTTCCACAAATAATTTAAGACCAGAATTAGCCAAATCGGTCCAGCCGTTCTCGAGTTTTAGCGAGACTAACGAATAGCAATTCATTTTTATATATTATAGAGATAGATTCATTATGTTCAGTAGAAACGTGTTGAGTTTTATCGAAACTGAGTCATATATGTGTAAGACACTAGTCGAACCTGATGCGCTTTGCTGAACGATGTTCGATTGTACTTGGATCCGATCGCTACCTACTTCAAACACTGAACTTTAATCACCCGGTAGACCAATCTGAAGATGTGGCTCGTTTACCGACACGCTTCACAAAAATGATGTGTTCAATAAGTTTTTTTTTGCCTATCTTTTTTTTATTGCTTAGATGGGTGGATGAGCTCACAGCCCACCTGGTGTTAAGTGGTTACTGGAGCCCATAGACATCTACAACGTAAATGCGCCACCCACCTCGAGATATAAGTTCTAAGGTCTCAGTATAGTTACAACGGCTACCCCACCCTTCGAACCGAAACTCATTACTGCTTCACGGCAGAAATAGTCAGGGTGGTGGTACCTACCCGCGCGGACTCACAAGAGGTCCTACCACCAGTGGTTACGCAAATTATAATTTTGCGGGTTATAATATCTATTTGCTGTTAGCTCAAAGGGCTAGTACAACTACGCGCGGACGAATAGGTGAGCTCACGGGCTGAACCTAAGAGAATTTGCTAACACTAGCCCTAGCCAAAATATTGTCTCGCTACCATCAGCTCCGAATCGCGACCCACTGAGAAGATCCGGCCAGGAACTCAGTGGTTATTTGTGGTTTCAACTCATAAATTGGTTTTAGTAAAGCTTGAATTAATTAATATTGACTACCAAGGCAGCATACAGAGGTAGGAGTTTAACTGCAGATGAGGGCGCGGTGCGACGACGTCAGTACAGATTATATGTATACGAGGCCCGAAACACCGGTAGATACCAGGAGTATTCCTAACTTTCATACAACGACATCGTAAACGCAAGCATGTGTCAGGATACGGCTTTTAAAATAGGAACAAGTTGTTTTCAAAACTTAGAAGCTATGAGAGCTTTTTTTTTCCTATCTATACTGATAGCCTTGAGAGGCTATATTAACATTACCCTAGCATGTAGGTGAGCTCTCGGGGCTCAAACCGAAGGTGTTGCTAGCACTGGCCCTAGCAAGAACAGTGCTTCGCAGAATCTACCACCGGATCGGAAACGCGGCCCACTGAGAAAATCCGGCGAGAAACTCAGTGGGCTGTGTCTTTGGGTTAATTTACTCGTCGAGCCCTTCGTCGCAAGCGACCGGTTCGGCGAGAACGGTGACCGATGTTTGAGGTACCTGTAAGCACCGTTAATGGATCGGGAGGATCCGTAATGACGTGCTATGAGAGCGATTTTCGTTTTCAAACTAATAAAAATCGTTCAAATGTGTTTTTTTGTGAAAACGTGTTTTCGTTTTTGAGTTTTGTTATTATTTTAAATGCCATATCCGATGCTTCGTACTCTCACGTACACTAAGGTACGATAGGGACAGCTCCGGAAATGATTTATGTATCTCTGAAACATTCATACGCACATAGATAACTAGCCTGTTCTTCTAAACAGTTACAACTATTCAGGTTGTTTTGGGATTCTGAATAAATGTGGCAAACTAAAAATCGATTCGGAAAGTGTCCAATAAATTTTGTATTTAAATAGCTTAAGCTATAACTGTGACGTGTTTTTGAAAATAAGTTTCTGACCAATACATCGTTCACGACGGCTATCCAAGTTTGTTAGTTTACTAATGGTGGCCCGGTGGTCGAAATTCGACCATAATTATTGATTTAAATTATAAGTTTGAACATTACTATGGTTCTATTGTCAAAGACTTTACTTCTATAATCACAGATTTCGTCAAGGCTACATTATACACAAATAATATTAAAGACCAACAATATTAATCTATTTTCAGTTTGTCCACAGACTTCAACAATAGACAAAAGAGTATCATACGTGTGAGAAAAACATGGTAGTGTGTGTCATATTTTTTTATTGACTTAATGTATTTTATAACCATAATTTTAATGCATATCATTGATGAATCTGTTAGTTTTAAGATTATATTCGAATATACGAGGAAATTTTATAATTACTATGAAACAAATATTTTTTTGTAATAAGTCGTGTCTCAAGACGGGTGTTAGCATTTTACGTTGTAGTTGGGCTTCGGTAACCACTTAACGCCAGTTGGGCCGTGAGCTCGTTCATGCGCCTAAGTAATAAGTTAAAAAGAAAACATTATTACACGAGCATGAGTATTTCTTTGAAGCGATCGAGCTATTGATAATCTCATCAACATTATAATATTCGATTATATTCCATTGAACAAATTAACCAAAAGCACTTATTTTCATTACGTTAACAGGAATTATATCTTAACTCAACGAATAATAAATATATTTTTCCGTTATTCACGTGTTTTCGTGTGGTATTGCGTGTAGACACATCGTGCAAGTTACTAGGCGCGGAGACTAGGCGTGGAGGTG